CTCTATTTTGGGAAACAGGGACTGACTTCCTAATGACCATTGTAGCTTTGTGTAAGGCGAAGGTTTTAGTTTTTATACAACAAGATTTTTATACAACCAAAAAGCTTCACCTGTTCATTACATTTTTGAAGTTTTAGCACTGTGCCATTAGCACTATGCCAGTCAGATCCAAGCATAACCAATGCATCTGTTCCAGACCTTTTTTCTTCTTTATTATTAAAGCAGAAGAGCACTTGTATGGGATCATATCTGATCCAGCTCAGTCTGCTGAAGGCTCTTGACTAAAGCACCTTGCAACACTTGACAGCAGAGATTTGTACTGCCATGTGTGGGAAGGAAGGGGAGAAAGGGGACGTGTGGGGGATATTGCACAGAATGACTTCTCATGGTTTTATTCTCTGAGAAAAATGTAATAGACCTCTAAGAGAAAGCGTTGGAGTCCTGCCTTGGCTGCCAGTTATTTAACACTTACTAAGCACGGTGTATGTGTGAGCTGAAATGGGGAGCTTTTCAAGCCAAGTGATTCACCCCACTTTGAGAAGCACTAATTTTATAAGAATAATTTCACAGCTAAAAATCAATTATATATTGCTCCAGTCGGGCCCCAGGTTTCGCAGGTGAGTCACAGCTTTCTGCCTTACCCTTTCTTGGGTGGTGAGAGGCTCCTGGCTGCCACCCTTCACTCACTGAGACGGGTCCTGTTCATCTGTCACACGTGTCCGAACCCGGCCAGCGTGCCACTGCTGGCTGCCTGACAAATGATTCTCTCACGTTACACTTGGAGGGAGAAGGGAAGCATCCCTCCCAGCTCCGTCAGCCCAGTACAAAGAGCACAGCAGAGGCCACAGCTTGACAAAGCCCGGCTTATTTTTACCAAGACAATCTGTAACGCAGTCCAGGGCGGGCGGGTGCTGCCGCTGGAGGAATGCGGGCTGATACGGACAGGGCGAGAGCAGCTGAAGAATTCCCCTCCCAGCACAACACCCTTGGGCTCGAGAGCTACAAAGGGAAGACAGCATTTATACACAGCGACCTGATCGTGTTTCTTTCAGAAAATCATTCTGCAGCGGTGAAGAAGAGGGAGTATGCCACTGCCTCGGACTGCGGCCTTAGCAGCATTACCATATTCATGATTCAAGAGCTCACGAATGCTGAGAATGTAAGAGGTCAGTTTGGCCCACGGCCAGGACTCAGCCCACTGCCCGCCCACGTCGAATGATCAGTCTCATGGTGTGTGTGTTAAACGGTACGGGAGGATATGGGATTGCGGGGCACGCAGACCGCAGAGCAGAATGCCGCTGCCTCGCGGGACGGGTGTGGAGGCGCAGTTGCTGCCTGCGCACAGAAAATGTGGGGAGAGATACAGCTCCGTTGTGTAAAATGCTTTCATCATGGTGCCACATCGCCGTGCTGAATAGGAGCTTTACACTAAGTGTGGCCTGTATGATCTGTCAGGAATAGAGAGCAGCTCGAAGCAGCCAAAACCTTTTTATCTCTCTATTTTTAGCGTGGAAGACAGCTATGCAGAAATTGCCATATAAACAAGGAGGCTGACAATTTCTACCTACAGACTTGATACGATCTACATATAGAACAGGACAGATACACACATATATATTTAAATTCACATTTGCTTAAAAAAAAATATTGTTGTATCATTCCCCTCCCCTTTTCTTCAGTCATTAAGTATTTTTTTTTGTTGGCATGTGGCCTCAGGGAATCTGGCAAAGGTGATGGAAGGTCACAAGAGTAGCCCAAGAGCTGCAGAACAAGCCGCATGTGCAAAAGGAGCAAGGCACGGGGAAAATAGCAAAGGGAATTGTGTGCTTGAAGGTGGTGACATCGAGATAATAGCATCAGACGTAGAGGAAGATTTAGGTGAAGGGAAACTAGAGTGGTTTGAAAAGATCTGGGAGCTTCCAAGTGAGAAGCAGAGGTTTTCTATCAGGAGTTGGAAATTTCTGGAGAAAAGAAAAAAAAAAATCAGAGAAGTGGAAGTCCTGGAGGCAGGAGTGGCTTTTATCCATGGAGTTGCTACTGCCTTTAGTCATTAGTGACAAAAGCTGCTTTGTTTTCAGTGATCACAACTCCTGTGAAAACTAAACACGGTACCAACACGTCAGCGACAGATAAGACAAGGAGGTACTGAGAGAGCTATTTACTGAATTCAGTGGTCAAAGAGGTGAAACTCAATTAGAGACTGCACATTTTTATCTGGACGAAATTCTGCTCTTAATGCAGTTTACATATTATGCTTACCATGACAAGCAAAACCAGCCTGGTCATCCCATCCAACGATGAGATGACTTTCTGTATAGGAAACTGGAATAGCTAGCTATTTGCAGAAACTATTCTGTAATTTCTGGTTTCAAACAAAAGGGGTTTATTGTTAAATAATCAATCATCTCTGAAAACACATTCATTGTTCTGGAAGATACTGGCTTTTGTTGGGAAAGCGTATTTACTTGGAGAGTCAAGTGCAGATGAGAACAATATTCCACAACTGTTCTGGGCAGCTTTACCAGGCAAATTCTTTACGTAGGCAAGAAGGCCTGGAAGCTGCAACTGGCAACACATAAATTAAGCACATTTGGTACAGGGATCACCAAAACAATGCCATCTGCACTTTAGCTCTTCAGGAGAAAAAAAGAGAACACTTCTGTAGACTTCAGCTTGCCTAGTTCAATAGTAAACCAATAGTCTTTCTTATACGTAAATAAGATTATTTATTTTCTTTCTTATTCTTTCTTGGTTTTTGACATGCAGGAAGAGCATCTGGAAACACTGCTTAATAAAGCGCAGCAGCAAACCAAGTCAAGTAGCAGTGTGAGGGAAGATGCTCTGTAATTACAAAGTGTTTTTAACATAAATGACTACGGACTTCGCAGCGTAACTGCAAAATGTGTCAGAAATAATTACACCTAACTGGGCTTTAAAGGACTTCTTAGATGTCTGAGATTTCTCTACTTCTATAATAGACTGTGTATGTCATTACACTAATGCTTTCTTAAATATAGTTGTTTTCTAAGGATCTAAACTTATTTATTTTTTAACTTGTAAACACACAGGTTCACAACCAACCTGTGGTGCTGCTGATAGTTATATTACTTTAAAAAAGCCAAACCTAATCTATGCATAACGTATGCTAATTATAAAACTTTTTAGGGAACTGATGATCAATCAACTTCTTATACTGGGACTGCATAGAATGCATTATCCCGAGCCCAGATTTTATTATGACATTTTGTATTTCTAGTGGTACATTTCATTATCTTTTATAAAATAGCAGTACTACGTCAATGTTCTCTTTCAAACGGTTATTAATGCTTAATAATAAATATTCCTAACCCAGAATACGTTTGGAGTGGAGCCTAGCATGAACAATTCAGATTGATGGGTGACCTTTGATATACCTAAAAACAGTGCTTGAGATGGAGGCCAGTAAATATTTTGTATCATGACAACTGAAAATATTAATGCTGTACTGTGTATAGCTGGAGTTTGTCTCTGCAAACACAGCTATGAAAAAAACAGCAGAAAACACTATGAAAGATTTGCTTCCAGTGTTAGTGGCCACCTACAGCACAGGCAACTTGTTTTTTTTTGCTTATTCTTACTGCTGCTGTTTTGTGCTTGTGGTGGGTTAACATCTGCTGGCTGCCACACACACACACAGAGCTGATCTCCCTCCTTAATAGCACTTGGAGGAGAAAATAAGATGAAAAAGCTCCTGGGATGGGATAAATCCAGGGAGACAGGGAGATCATTTACCAGTTACCATCGGGGGCAATGCGGACTTGACTCAGAGAAGATTGACTTTATTTCTTGAAAATTAAAAATAGGATAGTAAGAAACACAAACACAGAACTACAAACACCTTCCTCCCCCACAACAAAGCAGACATAAGTTGTCTCTGAGGATAAGGGGAGAGGACCATGAGGGATATTTCTCAGGTTGAAGAAATTGTCATTTTCTTAAAGAAATACTATTAATGGGATAAATATAGGTTGATTTAGATTATATATGATGAAGAAATTCTTCACTCGGAGGGTGGTGAGGCCCTGGCACAGGTGTCCCAGAGAAGCTGTGGATGCCCCATCCCTGGAGGTGCTCAAGGCCAGGCTGGATGGGGCCCTGGGCAACCTGGGCTGGCAGGTGGCATCCCTGACCATGGCAGGAGGTTGGGACTAGGTGGTCTTTAAGGTCCTTTCCAACCCAAACCATTCTGTGATCTCCAAGGAGGAGACTCCATAAAATCTCTGGGCGATCTGTGCCAGTGCTCATTGACTGCTACAGCTTCCTTCAGGGCACATCCACCTGCTGTGGCATGGGCTCCTCCACAGGCTGCAACATGGAGATCTCCTCCAGTGTGGTCCTCTGCAGGCTGCCAGGGGACAGCCTGCTCCACTACGGTCTTCTCCAGAGGTTGCAGAAGAAACCTCTGCTCTGGTGCCTGGAAAACCTCCTCCCCCTCCATCTTCAGTGACCTTGGTGTCTGCAGGGCTGTTTCTCTCACAGCTGCTGCACAGTGTTTTTTATCCTTTCTTGATACATGAGTAAATGGTGGATTAGACAAATTTAATTTACTTCAGTGAAACGTTAATATCTTTATGCAATCACAATGTGTGCTAGCGTAGCTGTAGGCAAATGACTGCAGAGAGTTTTCCACAAGGCATTTCCATGACCCTTACTGTACTTCGTGAAAAGAGGCAGCTCCTGCCAGATATTTCCCAAGCCTTCTATCTCCTGTACGCTGTAGTCTTTTGCAACTTTGGTAGAAGATGGAGGAGGGCACTCCTTTTGAACAGAAAGAAGCAGTTTGCATGTTTTCTCCGAGGCCAGAAAGTGAGTCAGCAGTAGAGTTCAGAGCCACATAATAGTCTCCAGTTACCTCACTGCTGCAGTGCAGCATTTGGAAGCTTTCTGTAGCAGACCATGGCTCCATTAATACCCATGATTATTTCAGGAATAAGTTGTTCTGAAAATTAATAGACACGACATCCAAAGCCACCATTCAAATTTATTCATAGACATTGAAGTGTTCCTTAAAATTGGCACCACGTATCAGAAAATATTGCCATCACTGACAGTATCATTCTCACTCATCTCAGTTTTCATAGCAAGTTGTAACTACTGGGTTCAAAAGTTCTGAAAAGGTAAAATACCCTCTTTTCCCTCAGAAAAACAGCAGCCCTCGTGGTTTATAAATATCTTATGGCAAGGTAAGGTACAGAAAGCAGAGTGATATATGCTAAACCCTACAAGGATAATTACTAGCATGTAACTAAAATGGATTGATAATTACATTAATACCTCCAGTAAAGCTTGAGGCATTAAGTTCAAAATATACTTTGTGCTTTGGTTTTAAATGTTTTTAATTAAAGAAGCTTACGCCTTTAGTTCAAGTGCTGTCTGTGGAAGAAGTACGCTGAAATGATTTAGCTATAGTGCTAGTCAGTTACACATAGCCCTATGCAGTTATCTTCACAGTTCATATTCAGAATTATCAACATTTCCTACATTGTTAACGCCTACCTCTCTACTTACTGTGCTGAAAAAGCTTCCAGCCCAAAGTCCTGTTTTCCTTTCTTTAACCCCTTCCCTCCCTACAGAGAAGGGATTCGGGATGTTTCCTAGTGAATATTCCTAAGGGTCTAAAGAATTTAGACACTGCCTTATCCTCTCCCCTAGGCAGAAAATCTTGTAATCCTGTTTTTCCTGAAAGAATAGGAAGGTGCAAGAAAGCAGCAACTTCATGGGTTGATGAAAGGAAGGAAATGAAGTAAGCTACACACACAAAAGCTACCAGATTCTTCATTCTAGGCATGGAGAGAGCAACTTTGTTTTGCCGGCAGAACATGAACAGTGCCTGAGTCAACAAGATCCAGTACTTCAGTGAAAATTCCTTTTTTGGTAACTGCAGAGCACGACTTGGTGCATTGTTAGCAAGTGATGCAAAGCAACAGGCAGAAAGGGACAGGGCAAGCAAGGAGGGAGTAAACATGTTTCACACCTTTGAAATTTCAGTGCTACCAGCCTGGACTGCAAGAGGAGCAAGTGCAGATTAACTGAGCCTATAGTGTGAAAAAATAAAAACTAAAAATTTGAAGTAGAAAAGCTGGTTTCATTTCTACATACCTGCAGTTAGGAGCCTGTGCTTTTAGATTTTGTCTCACTACATACTGCATGCCACTCACAGAGTTTTCTGAAAGCTAGATAATGCTGAAGTTCTCTGCTGTGTACCACATACTGCTGAAGTAAAAGCTACGCATCTTCAGAAGGCTGTAAAAAGCAAACTGGCTCCAGCTCAGAAAATCATGAACTCCTCTGGTTTGACCCAAAGCCAAAAGCTTCTCTGGAAAGAAGTCGGTATAGCAGCAAGTATCTTCCTAGCACTAAATCTGTAGCAAACCCCAGATTCAGAAGCAATGGAACAATTTCACATTCTCGAAAATTTCCAAGACACTTCTCTTCAGCCTGAGAAAATATCAAAGCTGAGTTATTTTGTTCAGCTGTTTGCATTTTGAACTACAGAGAGATGCTCTGAGATGGAGACTTTGCAGCTCACATGACCTTCAGCAGCTTGTTTTAAGCGAGGCTGCCAAACAAGCATCTGCTTAAAAACATTTCAAATTCATACTGAGTTAGCCTTTTAGACCATGTTCAGTTCTACAGCAATACCACTGGGAACTATGGAGTGTGTTAGTTCTGTGATAACTGCCTCTGGCTGTAGATGGGAGGCATTTGGTATCTGCACACTTCAGACTTGCAGATGCTTTTGTATTACATATGTGGAAGATGCAATTCACACTAATTAATGCAATATTGAACTATGCAAGTTCTGTTTGCTTTTTCTTTACATTGGTGCTTCCACTATTAGCAACCTATATATTATTAGAAGCATTACATGTAGTTTACTTTCAATAAATGGTCTTATTTTAATGGAATAAATGGTTCTTAAAAGCTGGAAGAATTAATGACAAAGTCCTTGCACTGAATCAGCTAAATGCAATTCCTTAGGGAGAACTGAGGTTAGAAAGACGCGGGCCATCAGTTATCATGGTATCACTTGGGGGGAGGTAGAGGGAGGTGGTGAGCAAGAACAACACAGATAAAGTCTAAAGTCTCCATTTTAACATAACCTTTTTCTCATTAAGTTTCTTCTTAGCTGTCTACTTATCTGTAATACCATTAGTGAAAAGGCAGACGCTAGAAAACTTGGGTCTGTCAGTTCCTTTAAGATTGATTTTAGGCTGCTTTTCACTACAGCGGTTATTTGAAAGATGCAGCTCCAGCTGGCTAAGTCAGATCCATAAAGGGAAGGCAAAAATCCTTCAACTTCATGAAGCTGAAGTTTGCAGATAAACAAGAAAGCAATATTCCCATGTGTAGGTAACATTTGAAGGGAACAGGTTCAGCTGACAGATCAGAATGGATACCAGTAACCATGATGCTTGGTCTTCTCAGCCCATCTGTTCCTCTTTTTGCACATCAGGTTTTCCTTCACCTTATCGGCGCACTTGATGCACGTGGTTAAAGGATTGTTGTCTCAGCAGAAGCACAGCAAGGACCTTGGGGCCCACGTTGGTCTCTTTCCTTTTTGCTCCCACTACTTTCTTCCTCCATCCCACTTGTTCACCCTCTCATTGCCTGGGTGGCACCTGCTGTCAGGTCAGACATTTACCTGTGTCTGTCATCTCTTTAACAGCTTTCAGTCTTAAGCAAGAAAATAATTTATTAAAATTCAACATAAGAAAGCAAATGAAAATCTCAAAAGCCACACCTGTGAACAACAGAAGTCAGACTTTTCCCCATCAACAACAGGCTGAGTTTGAATTTTGACACAAGATGCCTACACCACTGCTTGTTTTCTGGTTTGTCTTACTGTTAAGGAGACCCTTACTGGAACCTGTCATATTAGCTGTTCACAAAGCTGTTAAAAACTTTCTGGACAACTCTATCTAAAAATTAAAAACTTTGCCCTTTTAATACAACTTGTCTTGGGAGACTGTCAGATTGCAAATACCCAGTTTAGAGCATATACATGTTACACAGCAGTGTCCCACTCCTCTCCCCTGAATGCAGGGACGTTAAAATCTAATGCCTCTTCCAGATTCACATCACACGCACTTTAAGTACAGCTTAGGATGTAGTGTCATCTTGTAGCTGAAGAGCAAAAATTACAGAAGTGAAGGTCAACACCTGAAAGCAGCTTCAGGTTTCCTTTAAGCCATGTGCATAAAACTATGGCAAGGTATTCAATACTTTAAGCAGAGTGGGACATCGAACACATTAAAGAAATGATTGTTCTTCAAGTGGTATGAGCTATACTCACCAGAACTTTCTGTATATTTGAAGAAAAACAAAGAGTTACTTGATTTTTTAAAACTTGTTTTAAGGGAAGAAAGGCTAAGTTTTAAGCTTCTGTATAGTAGTTGCACTTTCTCCACTTAAAATTCATGAGATTAGTCAGTCACTGAACCAGGATTCAGCTGTACTATGTATTTCCATCATTAGAAGTAGTAAATAAGTACATTTCACCCTTTTGTACCTCAGTGCCAGCTGGGCACCAACACCAGCAGTGTTAAGGATTAAAACCAAAACCAACCACAGCCCTGTCTGCTCAGAAGGCAAGTGGACAGCCATGAAAAAAACAACCATGTTTTGATCAGTGCAAGAGAAGGATCCAGTGGTTACAAAGCATGCATATTTCTAAGTGTTCTTATTTCCTATTGAATTGCTGGGGTAAAAACTTGCCCTCTCTTCCTTTGCCCAGTTCTCAGACATCAGGCACCCACCCTTTTGCTGTGCTAAGAGCCTATGAACACCGAACACTTTATGACTAAGGCCCAAACGGGAAAACTGTTAGTTCACCTCAGTGGACATCTCCCCACTATAACATCATTACAATCAAACTTGGGCAAGGGAATGTCTTTAGGCAAAAGGATCCAATATCAGGAGTGCAGCTGTGGTTATTGCTTGTGCTGTGTTCTTGCACAGGCGCCGTCTTCATCATATTCATCCATCAGCTGCAACATGTATGTTCCAGTATAGAGCAGAAACTGTCCAGTTATTTGTGCCGCGTGGGACATCAGCTGAAGCACCTTCCTGGAAGAAAAGCCATTTGTTTAAAAAATGTCAACAACAGGGCAACGTAGCCCAAATCCCTGCCTCCCCCAGCACCTTCAGGATGAATTAGGGAGGTATATTTAGGAATCCTCTTGTTCCTTTTCACTTTTGAGAGGATGGTCATCTCCATACCTTCCTTAGTGCGATTACTTCTGTCTGTGGCCATTGACTGACAGAAAACTGTTGGCATGTTGTAGACACGGGCAGAATCAGAAAATGCATTTAATGAATCATTCTGTAACCCCATTAGGCCACCTGGAAAGCCATCACTCAAGCTACCAGAGCACCACTGGAGATGTAACATTGCCTGGCAGCCCCGCAGCATGACCTGATCTTGCTTCTCACCTTTAGGCAGGTCACCACGAAGCCTGTGTGCACCTCCAAGGTGCAGATCGAACTTGATTAGCACTGAAGCTCAGCAATCACAGTACAGTGGATGCCCAACAGCAATACAAATTAAGCCAATCGAATTAACTGTCCAAGCTGCAAACATTAGTAACTCTCAGTTCACAACTATTTTATTTTAATGTGCTAGTATTTATCAGAATTGAAATATATGGTGTGAGAATTTAGGCAGATCCATAAATCAAGATCAAGAGAGCATCAGAAGTCAATATAATACATACTGTGGATCACCACAGGACAAAGGAATAGAGATCATCACATTTGAGTGGTCATTTATTCAACCTACTTATAGCTTTTTTTTTTTTTCCTTCCAATCTCCAAGACACAACAAGGACATTAATGCTGAGAGAGATATTCAAGCTTTAATCATTGTATGTATGAGGGCCTATTTTCAAAGTTAAGGCACTGGGGAAGTGGCACATGAGAACCGGAACCACTCCAAAACTGGAAGGGGATCAGTTTCTGAAGATGCAGAAACCATACCAGTGCTCCCCCTCTCAAAAGGGAACATGCACTTTTTGTATCCCTGTGCAAGTCAACTGTGAACCCTCTGTTGCTATACTTCTCCCTTCAGCTCTAGCAGAGAGCACAAAGTCCTCTTCTTACATTTTTTGTTTTTTTTTTCCCACTTTGATGAAAGGTTTGTAGTCAAAATCCAGTGTTTCAAAAGAGCTGAATACTCTGATACTTAGAGCCTTTAAAAAAAAAAAAAAAAGGCTGTACCCTTATTCATGCTCCCCACACACATGCCATTTCAGCATGTCCTTCCCTCTGCGGGACAGTGCAGGCAAAGGAGCTGCAGAGTCAAAGCAAGCTGCACCTGGTCCAAGCTTTTGGGCAGCTGCAGTGTGTCACTTGCACATGACAGCAGTTGTCACTTAAGCCGTGGAGGAAGTTATTTGTTGAACTGGACATTTGATCCTTCAGTTGGGCCAGACAGGGAGAAACCCTTAACAGAAATGCACTAATGAGATCTGGCAGGCTCCAAGCCCCTCCCACCGATGAACAACTGCTGAATTTAAAGGTTTTTTTTCCTCCCTCACATTCCACAGGTGGGCGCGGGAAGAGGGCATCAGGGCTGGCAACTTGTGACTCATTAGCAGAGGCACTATGCTGAGAATCCAACACCGTGTGTCTCCAGTTTAAATAGCAAACTGAGGCAGTTGTCTGCCCTATTCAAGAGCACCCAAGGTTCTCTTCTCTCTCCCCTGCTCCTTGCTGGTGGCCCATTTTTCCCAGCCTCCCACCGGCACTTCCCCTTCAACTCTTTGTAGTGTAGCAGCACTTCTAGAAGAGCTCCGCAGCTACTTCAGCTGCTTGCCAGCACTTCTTCTTTCTCACCAGCTGCACAGTGCTGGCAGGCAGGCAGAACCATCACTTCAAGTTCTCCTCAACAGTGCAAGTTCCAGTGCTGACACAGCCCCATAACAGATAGCCAGAGATCTGGAGTTTGCTCTGGCTAAACACAGGAACTGGAGGAGTGCAGCTGTCCGAGGGTGGACCTTTGCTTTGAAGGGACTCCAGTGAAACCAGTGCTACGGGTGGGTGTAGCATGTAGCTGGAACATCACTGCAGCCTGGCCAGAGATGAGCCTCATCTACAGCAGCTGTAGGCTGAAGGATTAAGCAAAAGACCACCAGAGCAGAATGGCAGAGGTCAGACGGGGAATAAGATTAGCATTACAATGCTTAATACCTGCATCCATGAGTCTAGGGGCTACTTGAAGACTTCAAACCGAAGACTACTTGCTGCCCAAGTGAAATAAACCCATTTACAGGCCACGTCATCTGTTCTGAACAGTGTACATGTGGGTCTGGTTCTCAAGTAACAAAATGCAGCAACTACACTACTGCATCTCAAACAGAATTTGACAGGTCAGGCAGAGAAATTCAGGGCTGTAGCTTAAACAGCTGTTAAAATCAGAGTATGGCATCTCTGTGAAGGGGTCTGAACTCAAAGTTTTCTTCCATCAGGGAAAAAACACAGCTGGTTTTGACATGGCACTGACTTTCACAGTTGAAAGGACAGATTATTTCGAGGCAGTATTTCCCAACAGCCCGTTCTACCAAACTTGCAACCCACTACAGCTCGGTCCTGCGGAAGACAGCGGTCCTTGCTAGGCTCTCTTAGAGACTAAGGCAATCTTCTCCCCCTTCTTTTGTCTCCATGTACCTTTCAGGAGGTGAATCTGACAGCCACCATGAAGACCTCCAGCATTAGATCTCCAATTCCTGTCTTATTTCACCTCATTGAAGTTCCCCTCCTAAGAGCCTTCCTCAGCACCCTGAATTCTTTAAACAAGTCAAAGAAACCTAAAGGAATTCTCTCAGGAGATTGTACCCAGTCTCTTGATATGAGTAAAAGCTATTAGGGTTTTGTCCTGGGGGAAATTTAAGATTCAACCATGAAAACCTACGAGCCATAAGCTTAGAAAGCTTAAAGCTGTAAGTTTTTACAAGACAGCTATTAAAGGAAGATTCAGCATATCAGATATAAGAATTAATAAAATATTATATTTATATAAATGTCTTAGAGCTGATAAGCAAACAGGTTTTCATTAACGAGCAAGCCTGATCAGCAATGGAAGCATACTTACCGCAGTACATTTTTTGCTGCCATACACTTGATGTCATATGACACAGAGTAGATCTCATAGAAGGTTGCCTTCACATTTAAGCAGCCAATAAAATCCTTAGGGTTCAGCTTGTACAGATCAAATGTGATGTTAGCTACTCCCATTTTCTTCTTTTGCTTTGCAGGGACGACTCCATTTCTTGTCTAATTTAAAAAGAGGGAGATAGTTTAGATCCTAAGCCAGGGAACTAAAGCAAGACAACTGTTAATGGTGCAGTTCTTTAGAAGTAACTCACTTATTCTTAACCAATTCTAAATTAGAAATAAAAAGCACTGAGATAAGCCAGTCTGTAGCTTAGGCAATTTTGTTCAAGTCCTGATTAGGCTTCTGAAACTATTCCAAAAAGACAGCACAGCAAGTCCACACAAACAGGACACCAAAATAACAAGACATTAGGTCGTTTTGTTTAGGAACGAACACAATAGTGATCAGCAACCTTGGAGATAGCTGTAAAGACTACGTGTTGTTCAGGTGAAGTAAAAACCTCACTTCCTGTGCAAACCTGTGAAAAAAGTCAAGTTCACATTTCAAATCCTAGCTCACCTTTCTTTTCCTTCTTTCTACAAAGTAAATGGAAGAAGGAGCCACTACTGATTAGGCCTAGGTTTTAATACTGAGTTTAAGCTGGAAAAATAAGAGAAAGAAGACTGTGGAAAGTCATCTTCTACCTCTTACTAAAAGCAGCCCTTGCTCTCTTTCAGGAGTGGGTTATTTGCTTCGAGAAAAAGAAAAAAAAAAAAAGAGAAATAGTAAGGAATACCCTTATTTAGGGAGACACCTAGTGGATACACGGGTTGCTCTGCTCAGCACGTTCAGTTCAAGGATTGTAATGTGTAGCACCTGCTTTTTGCATGCTAAATAAAGCAACAAAGTTGTGTAAGGCTGGGGCCTTTTGTACTTGTCATCCCGGTGCTCAGACAGTGCCATGGTAAGTTAGACCAACTTATACACTGCAGTGTATCACCAGCCAGCAATTTTATGCCTGTTTTACTCCGACAGCCTCTGAGCTCCCAGCTCCAGCAAGCAGAACCCTTAACAACAAGTTTTGAACACGTACACGCAGTCGGGTTTGCTTGGGAGCATGCCCCCATTAGCACACAAGACATTTGGACCAAGCAAGACAATTTGTGCTACACTCCAGTTTATTTGTGAAGCTTTGGCATTCTCCTTCTGCACTTAAACTTGTTCTGCTGCCATGCCAAACAGGACATGAGGCAGGGGAAGAAGGAGCAAGGTGCAGTCATACCCTGGCTGCAACTCCTTTTCTGCTTTTGGAGCTCATGGCCAGGTGCAGCAGGTTAAGTCAGTGAGTTATCTTGGGGAAAAACACACAAGCTGCCCATGCTGCAGTAAGAGAAACAACGGGGCCATGCGACTGAGCCACACACCCACAGGCAGGAGCAGTGGGTCAGCTTGCAGCTACTAAGCTAACTCTGCACCTGGCAGAAGAAATTTTAATGCTAGCTTTCTAACAAAAATCATTTCATTGGGAGAAACTTCAGAGTTGACTATCTTACTAATGCACTCCTCCACAAAACTAACTGGAAATTAAATTTACGCTATTAAAGGCTGAAAGCTAGGCAATCTTAACATATCTCGTAAAATATCAAAACCTAACGTTAGTCTTCATGCTTCTAGATGACAACTTTTAGCTGTTTGCAAGATTAGTACAGGCATTTTTCTCATCTTCACTATTAATGCATTTGCAAGGCAAAGCTTTTTTTATATGGCTTAATTTGGGCAATCTACCCCCTCTAAAACTACATGAAGTTTGTGCTTTTAGCTTAAGGAAATCAAAGTTCTCATTCCCTGTATGTTATGCAACAGCTCAAGAACTAAGTTATTCCTGAGGTGCTCCAAAAGTGGGATTTTTCCCCATAATTCTGTTCAGTGGTAGCATTTCAGTTAAGTTCTTGGTAGATCTTTGTCAACCATCTTATGTCCCAGCAGGGGACAAAGAAATGAACTTGTTAAGCCTTCCTGGATGATAAAACAAGAAGTTGATACTTTCCCTTCCACAGGGGAAGTTTTCTTCCTCACCTACAGACCTTTTTCCATCCACTTCTACTCAAGTAGGAGGGAGGCAGTGAACACTTACTTGTGTCCATTTCTGTCCCTTTTGTAGAACCACGAAGTGTGTGTTATCATCCAGGGACTGAAAGAACTCTTCTGTGTCCACAACCGTGCCATCTTCTTCCAAAACCAGAGTAACTACTCCAGTGGTGATAAGGAAGGCTTCTAAAGTCTGCAAAAAAACCAGCAGATTGGAGAATTCAAAAGGGAGCCTATCACTGTCATATTTTTCCCCCCATCATTTAATATTTAGACTTGCATTCTCCTGAACTTCCCCACTAATGATATTTGGACGAACAACAGTCTGTGGGTTGCCTGCCTGCAATACTGCACTTCAGTGCAAGTTTCAGCCAGAGCAGGAACGTTTGCTGTACCTTGCTGATGAGCTCTTTCAGGCTGCTCGCAACAATTCCTTTCCGGCTGCTCCTGGAGGCATTTGACACACGGAAAGGTCGCCCTGCAGGCATGAGAGGAGGGAACAGGGTCTGTTTTGTTACTGCTCCCACAGATGCTCCCATGGATACCAAAGATCTAAGACAAATAAAAATTCAGTGTAGTTATAAAAATAGTCACGTCAAGTACCACGAGGAGGAGGAGGGCCGTTGAGTTTGGTACACAAGGACATAGTACAAGTAATTCACAGGTCACCTTAGACTTGTGGAGCTTGCTTTCAAAATTAAACACTACATAGCCCTACAGTTGTGTCTCTGAACTTTCCCTGGCTGGTGACATTTGAAAACACTTCTCAAATGAAAACCATTTCGAGCAGATGTGGGCCAAGTTGCTGCTGAGCTGAGCTGACGTCAAGGTCACAGTGAGGTCGACAGGTTTTAACACTACAGTGAATGAGAAAGGCAGCAGCTCGTACTGCAGTCACCCATACAAATCACTCCCTTTTCCTGCAAGATAAACACTCAGTCAGATGGTACACACTACTTTCAACTATTTATTTATGATAAGAGTTAGCTTTAGGGAGACTGAACACACTGTCCATATGCAAAACACCTGGTTTCGGAACACAAGTGGAGCTTTCTGATAGTTATGCTTGACTTGCAAATGGCAGAGATGCTTATAAATTACATCTACAGTCTGTAAAACCTCATTCAGCTTAGAGAATGCAAAGTAAGACTTGTTTGTGCCCTAATGTATCAAAGGAAGCTGAATGAAATGAAATTAAGATCCAAGTACACGAGCGGATAGCATTGGAGCAGGCTACCAGAGGCTAGGAGTTCAAACACTTTTTTGGAAAGGCATAGAGCTGGGACAGGGCAGGGTCAGGCTGGGGGTTAGGGAAAGGTTCTGCACCCAGAGGGTGCTCGGGCACTGGGACAGGCTCCCCAGGGATGGGGTCACAGCACTGAGCCTGCCGGAGTTAAAGAAGTGTTTGGACAGCGCTCTCAGACACACGGTCTGATTTTTGGGTGGTCCTGTGCAGAGCCAGGAGTTGGACTCGATGGTCCTTGTGGGTCCCTTCCAACTTGGGATATTCTGTAATTCTTTTAGAAAGAGGTTTTGAGTTTTCCTTGACAATCACATCTTCAACAGTGACTGTTTATGTTCTTGAGTTATATTCCCCTAAATATCACCGGTGATAGCTTTTTACTGCCAAATTGTATTGATTAATTTAATACCCAGACAACTTGCCAAAAATCACCACCTGGAAGAGAATAAATCTTTTCCAGATCTCGTACCTGGTCTTTAAGCATATTTTTGAGATGCATGAGAAGTAATTTTTGTAACTAGCTAGCTAATTACAGTAATTAACTTCTTTCCTGCTCTCATTCCAAACCACTATTCTATAGGGCTTTGGGATACTACTTTTCCTCTGTATGCTGAAGAGCTTCTCTTCCTCAAAAACTCATCAGTATTATTGAAACATATATATATATACACACACATATTTTAAAGGAGTGAGGTGTTCAAGTGTTAGTTCTGGCTGAACCTAATATCATCTCGGTAGTGCTGTCTCAACACTAGGTCTCTGGCTTTCAACACTTTGCAAGTATGTTCATGTGGCATAACAAAGCAGGTACGGGTGAGGATTCAGAAAGGTTTTTAGGAGACTTTCATTGTTTCAAATTAAAAAGCTAAGCATTTTCCTCCTGGATCACAACCAGGGAGGAAGGCAAGATGACAAAATAGCAGAGGGAGACGCTATAACTTCCCCTCCATAGACGGAAAGTGTGCTAGGACAGGGCGTGTGTGTGTGTGTGTTAAACTCTGCACTGACTAAGCAGTGCCCCAATCACCCTGCCAGTCTGCAGGCAGCTCCCACTCTGAATCACTCCAGTCTCTTCCTCAGGTATGAAGCCTGTGCATTTATCTCCGTGATGGTGACCCCACTTTGCTGGGCACCTGACTGTTAGCACGTGCAGCATTTAGGATTCAGGACAGAACACCTCCAGATCTAGCACAGCCTGTTCCCCCCTCACACGTTTGAAAACTACACGTAGAATAGTTCCTTGAGTAGTATATATCACAATACTGCCAAGATGTTTTTTGTGATGACAGAAGATACCAGTCCTGTTCTTTGCTATTACCTAAGAGCAAGCGTTCATCTTGGGCATTAGCAGAGCCAACTCTATAAGCCATTTTTTGTAGCTCTAATAAAATTTTCTTCAGAGCTCAACAACCATGATCTTACACAGTTGCCTAATTCTATTGGAGGAAAGAAGTCAGAAACAAAAAGATTAATAAATCAGAACTTTCATCAGTTCAACCATACTGCCACTTCACAGCAGTCCAAGTCTCGGGTAGTTAACATCGATGCTATTCCACGTATGTTTCTGTAAGACTAGTCAGTATCTTTCAAGTAAGTCTGCCCATGAAGAAGTGAGTCTAGAGCACGGTGAGGTTTCAGACAATATTAAGTAATAGGTAACAAAAGCCAGTGTATTAAAAAAAGAAAAAAAAGCCAGAAAGCCAAGTGAACACTTCCGTTTCTGGGTCAATTGCCCAAAGCCTGTTCTGCTTGTTTCCCCTCACACATATGTAAACCAGAGACTCAAAGGGGCTTGTTCATGGCTCACAGAAAGAAATATCACTTATTTTTTTTGCAGGGAATTCCCCTACTAGATTGGAGCTACTGAAAATAATTGCATACTAAAAGGTAATGGGAATAAGTCAGGGAATGAGTGGTACAGAGCAAAGGGATGGTGCTGAAGTGCAGGTCTTCGCTCTTCCCTACAGGAGAAGGGATCCTATGTCAGTGGAAAATACAAGAACTCAGAAAAGCGTTTATAACTGAGGAAGAAATTATCTTCAACATCACCCAGCTTGCCCTGTGTAACACCAAGCACCCAGAGACCTACAGACGCTGTCCCAAGCATTCAGTGCAGTGTCAGGGCTGGGGGCCAGCTGAGCTCTTTATTTCGGAGGAGAAACCAGGAATTAACAACCTGCCCCGAGCCCTGTAGGCTAACTTCACCCTTTATCTTTGTTTGCGACGTACCCTGTATGTTTGTCTAAGAACGTGGTGCAATGGTCCCCAGCCTCAGGAAAGCCAACATTGCACAACGCAAGCGGCTTCAGAATATGGCACGGCTGGATTTTTAGGGTAGAGTTCACAGTCGAGCGACAGCAGCAATAACAAAGCCAAAAATAAGTCAGAAATCAGCCAGGACACTGCGTGTCCCACCTGGCTTCCCGGTTACAACAGCCTGAGAAGACCCCACAGCCCTGAGGCGCAGAAGGGGAGCGGCGCCCGCCCAGCACACCCCAAACGCCACCACCGACCCCGGGGCGAGGGGGGAAGGCGCCGAGCTCCCCCGCCAAGCAAACCTCCACTTTTCAGGCTTCTTTAAAAATAAATTAAAAGGAAACGGAGCCGTGGGGGCACTCACCGCACCGCCGAGCCCACGTAGCCCCTCGCCCCCTCCATGTCTTGGCCCTCCCCGGCCGTCAGGCAGCGCCGGCCGCCACCGCCCTTAATGAGGAGCGGGGCCGCTCCGCCTCCACGGCCGGCCTGCCCCTGGGCCGGCCCTCAGCCCGCCCCCGGCCAAGGGGAGGCATGGCCATGAGGTGGGCTGCGTTGCAGGAGCCTTGTCCTTGTCCTATCCTTGTCCATGCCACCCCCGGACCCCCTTCTTCCCCCGCCCCGAGACCCCTTTGGCTCCAAGCTCCCCCCTGGCACGACGAGTGGTGGCGGGGTTGTGCTGACAGGTGCCAGGCGAAGCACCTCAGAGGGAAGATTTATCGTTGTTATTATTATTATTCCCAATGAGTTTTTTTTTTCTTGTTGTTTACCCAGGGAAGGAAAGATAAAGATTGCTTGTTCCGTGTATATCTGAGTTACAGCTAATATAGCAACAGCAGGAGCCAATCCCATTTGAAGCCTCTAAGCATTAAGAGTAAATCAACAGATTAAAGTGCTTTGGCTTCTGATTTTAGAGCCTGGGAATAAGCTTACAACTTGGATTAATGTATGTAGTAGCCTCACTGGAGGTATTTAGCCTTCCTAGGGTATGGGCAGCAGTGATTTCTGTTTATGGGGCAGGTAAACATGTCATTTTTTCCTTTTCATGCCTGTCCACAGGCACAAATACAGTATGTTTCAGCTCTGACACAACATGATCATTTTGACAGCTCTAAAACCACGACCACAGAGAAACCAAGGCAGATCCTGGCTGCTCCGTGCCCCACTGACCTAGGGCCAGCCGGTGAGCAGGGAGCTCTGTGCCACTGCCCGATGGCAGGAGGCTGGATCCGGAAGGTTCCACAGGGACACCTCGGTGACAGAGCCTGGACCTCGCCCAGGGTCACCCCATGGATGGGACTGTTTTTCTGGTCCATCTTGTTGAGCACAAAGGAGCCACCCACCTGATTTCTTTGCTTTCCAGGCTTCATCAGCACCCAGCCAAACCCTGCATAAATGTTCTCAAGCCTCAGCTCTGGGGCCCTTATCGGCTGTAAAAGAAAACAAACCTTTTAATCTGGGACAAATTGTGTTGTGTCCCCCCACCTAGCAGAGTAAGCAATCCCACTTCCCCACAGCAAAGCTCAGACCAGCAGGCTTCCCTGGATGAACCTGAGCTCAGGCTCATCTCTTCTTCCTCAGGCTCCTTAGGGCTTGCAGGTGTGAGGGGCCCCCTTCTGCAAAGTTACCCCCTTCTTTTTCTATCCCCTACTACTTGTAGTTTTGTCACAGTTCCGTGATACACCCCTGATACAAAGTCAAGGAGAATGGGAAATGGGCAGCAGCAGGTATTTCTCTGGGCATTGGACTCAAAGCAGCCTGTTTTCCACTGGGTCTGTATCTTACACTTGCTTGTGGGCACAACTGAGGTTATTTAAGCAAAATGAGCATTTATAATGAATTCTCACTGAGTGTTTCTCTACTGTCAAGAAACGTGTATATACTGCAGCTTTCCCTGTTGTACAGGGAGAAAAGAGTGTCGAAAGAGAAGTTGTGTAAGGTGGTCTGTCTCTTCTGCCACTGTGTAGAGACCTCTGCAGAGGAGCTATGCTTCAGCGACAGGAAAATCTCCTCCTGCCCCAGACATTTGTGCCCTGGCCTGTATGGAAAAATCCATAGAGTTACTGCAATTTCCATATGGTTTCAAACTGCACTCTCCCTTGTGAGTTCATGGGTCTTAGGGGAGAGAGCAGAAGAGAGGCAATGCAGACATCAAGAAAGCAGGCTTAAGTTATCTCCAAGGGCTGTGGGAGAGGACCGTGTGGGATAAGTCTCAGGTTGAGGAAATTGTCATTTTCTTAAATAATTATTATTAATGGGATAAGTATAGATCAATATAGGTTAGATATCGGAAGGGAAGGGAAGGGAAGGGAAGGGAAGGGAAGGGAAGGGAAGGGAAGGGAAGGGAAGGGAAGGGAAGGGAAGGGAAGGGAAGGGAAGGGAAGGGAAGGGAAGGGAAGGGGAAAAAATCACGTGGCATATGTAACAGGCAGCAGGATGCACTTGAAGTAGTCTTGAGGCCAAAATACTCAGCAATGTTTTGCTTCAGCCTTCACTGAAAACATAAATCATGCAGGAGGCAAAGTACGTGGCAGATATGAAAGGGAGTGAACACTAGAGGTGGAGTTAAATAAGCAATTGTATTGAAAATAAATTACTGTCTTACTGCCCCTTCGCTGAGGGGCATTAGCTGACTCCATACATGTCACTTGCCAATTGCGTTTCAAGTTATACAAGTTTTCTTAAGCCACTTCTCACAATAGTCAGATGATTATGAAACAGGTTTGCACGTGGCACATATATAACAGGCAGCATGATGCACTTGAAATAGTCTTGCATGCAATTTCACATTAGTGAACAAGCAGCATCAGGCCAGGGTTTCAAGAAAAAAGGTGACAAATTGCAGCAAATTCGGTGGAAAGCAGGAATGATCAGAGACCCAGGGAACATGGTGTATGAGCTGTATAGTTTGGGAAATAAGATCGGGTGGAGAAGCAAATCACAGGCTTTGATGATGTTAGAGAGCACTGTGAAGATGGAGTAAAATTTTCTTCATTTCTGTTGGGGCTTAGCCTACAGGACTGGAGAATTAAGTTCTGCATTAGGAGACATTTCAACACTAAGGGGACTTTTAGGGGCTGGGGTGAAATGCCTGCTGAAGGTGTGTAGTCAGTTAGACACAGACATTGCTTGGGCCAGTGTTCAAGTGACACAAAGGACAAATCAGGAGCCCAAGGATCAATTTGGACATTCCTCCTATTTCTCAAAGCTCTGACAAACTACGTGAGTGAGATTAATGCAGAATGAAGTGTTTCTGCATTTTACCAACCTTGATCACCCCTCAAGAGTGGAGTGCAAGAAGTAGACAGATGTATTTACGGCAGTGTTAGCAACAAAGATAACAGATTACAAGGGCTGAGATTTACAAAAGCCAACCTTTTGTTCTGCCTTTCTGCCCTTTCCTGTTTTCAGCTAAGTGATCCTTTGGTCAAATTTCTCCAAGAAGTGCTCTTGTGACTACCCCTAAGTAAATTTTATTATTTCTTATTGCTTCCATACAGAGCCAGCATTCTGTTCTTCACTGTGTCCTATAAATAACCATATTAATTTCTGAACTTCTTTTACTTTTCAGTGGATTCCTATCTCCGTTGCCTCTGGCTCTGATTTATTCTGCCAGGCTGTTCATGACAAAGATTTGGTAGCTCATTCTTAGTATTTGTGTTAACCTCTACTACACCATCACTGAATGTTTTTAAGAGAAAATTAGACAAGCATCTCTGAGATAAGACTGTGGAGATCTCAAGAGGTTGCTTTTCATCATTTTCTGTATTTTTCAGAGTCCTTGCTAATGAAACCTTTCTGTATAATGCCTAATGGATTTACAGGAGTCAGTGTTTTTATCAGCTGTGTAAGAGGGAAAGAGGCTCCTCCTAAAGGTGACTTTGTGGCTCTGCAAGGCTGCGCAGAAAAGGACAAGAATATTTTTAATAGTAATTAAAATCCTTTTTAATTGGCTGGAAATGGTTCTGTGGTCTGCAAAGATTCCAATTTTGAAAGCCACGTTTGAACAAAAGACTAATCCTTTTCTTCAGTGAACCATCTGGCACAGAAAAATGCTCTTTATTATGAGATTTCATGGGTGGGTATTTTGTTTTGTGTTGTTCTTCTAAGTTTTCAAAGATTTTAACAATAGCATCATGACAGTGTTGATGGATGGGCACATGCTGTATATATGGGAAATAATACTCTACCAAGAGTATTTCAGTGGTGTGAAATTCTTTGAACACATCCGTTTGAATTCTGATGTCTTATAGTTAGACAGGATATTAAAATCAAGGCAGGTTTTGCCCTCACATACCCCTTCTGCAATCCTGTGGATATGAATGAGTTGCAGGTATTTGTGGGCAGCATTTAACTGAAAGCTGACTTACTGAGAGCTGTATTGTGACAGCAGTAAAGAAAGGCAGAAGTTTTGCCTGTGAGATCTGTTATTGAAAATAATGCACTGGAAAATTATATTTGTTTATCCCGAGCATGCAAGGATAATCTAAATGTTTTATTTTACATTCGAATGTTACAACTTCAAAAGTGTGTAAGTTCCAAATAAGACAGAGTAACTGGTGAAAATATTCTTGTTTTTAACATCTCTACTATTTATTATTGTTTATTGATACTCCCTACAGGAAGAAAAGAATATCTTACTAAGAAAGAAATACGACTTTTTTTTATAAGCTTTAAATTTTATTTTAGGAGATATTTCTCTGCAAAATGAGAGGCTATCAAGTGCGGAATTGTCCCATGGTGTACAGTTGTGTTATGATTTTTACAGAAGACCTTGAAGAGCTTTAGACTCCAGGCAACACTCCAGAACTATTGACCCCCAGACTGAACGGTGAGTTCATAATTATTTGGTAGCTGTACTAATTAATATAAAAAAAAAACCAATATTTAAAAATCTTCTTGGAGAAGGAATATCTGTATTTTACATCTCATATAACACGTTTTAAAAGTTTAATGAGAAATAACATTTTTTAAAATTGTTTCTGTCAAAAATGTAAAGATTAAAGCAGTAATAGCCAGACAGCTTAACGGGTGACCTTCCTGAGGGTCCTACTGCCTCTAAATCAATGTTTTTCAACCTGTGGTGTGTTAACCTCTGAGCAACATCAGTTATTTCTAAGGGATGCACAGGCAGGTACTAGGCTCACAGATACTGCACAGTAATCTGCGCACATGAAATTTCCAAAGCAGCTCCACCAGAAAACAATTAGGGATCACAAATTGAAAGAGATTGAGGAAAATATTGCAGCCACTTAGTGGTTTAATATCTTGCCTGGGTACATTCACTCTCTAGATAAAGAAGCTCTTGGTGAGCTGTGGGAGCTCTCAGAGTCAACAACTCTCGGACCTAGAGTGGACCTAAAGCCTTCGGACTCTAACTGCTTTGCATTTTCCTTCCTTTTTAGCAGGTCTCCTTCTATACAGTGTTTTTGTACATGCAGCTGTGTCCTTCTATAATCCGTTAGGAACAGGAGTGGTCATTAGGCACTGGGCTGGTCTGTGGTACACCTCAATGCTCCTT